TCCCTGCAGGCTGGTGCATTTTAAATGTCCCAAGAGACAAATCCAAGACTTAAGTTTGGTCCTTGTGTTAATAGTGAAACATGGGAGGATTACAAAGGATTAGAAAAGGTGGCTCATTCGAAAGCCCCCTCGCGTACGCCCTTGATTATAGACATTAATAAACAAACAAAAAGTGAAATACCTAAATCACATTTGAACATTCTGCATTTCAATTCAGTGTTATGATAAAATGGACATTTAAAGCAAACCAGTGTTTTTGGAGTAATTATATCAATAATCCTATCCCTCCGGGGTTAAAGAAGATCAAGGTGAAAAGACGCAACACCTCATCAAAGATGTCGTATTTCGCATCTAAATGGAACGCACACAGTTTAGCATAGACTGACTATAAACAGAAAGGAAAACACCACAAAGATTAAAAATCCTTTACGCTTTGATAAAATCTTAATTTGATTGCAGCTAGTCAAAAAATTGGTAAGAATTTAACTTACGACTGGTGAAAAGGGAGACATGAATACCGAAAAGAACGACTCGTCCACTTATTTTCGCGAAATCAAAAAATGATTGCGACAGTTGTGAACAAAGAAACCCCTGTTTGCACAATACTAAAAGGCTAGTATGACTTTGAAAGTTGATGAAAACTAATCTCATTCGAGCATGTTGAAAACAAACTGAATTGAATATTCGATTAACCTCTTCCCAAGGCTTCCAACAAATGTAAATGGACGAAAGCGACTATTTAATTTGAATCAACATAGTTAAAGAAAGGCTGCAAGATAAAGAACCTGAATGACACTTCTGATGTCTCAAGGCGGATTATAAAGGTTCATTCCATTTTTACACGAAATTTAGTGGACGTTGTTTGACACCGAACGTCTTTTATGAAATGGCCAAGAAATGGCATATTTATTTTCCCGGACTTTCTCGAAGATAACCCCTTTTTCAAAAAGTCTCTGATTGAGTAACTCAAAAATAATTCGCATAATTATTTTTGTTCCGTTAAAGGAAGAAATGAAAGGCCCTTTTCAAATGTTGTTTATTGGACATGACAGCCTGACAGCCATTGTGTGTGCTGCATGGATGGAAGAATGACCAAAATGAAGGCTACACGGACAAAATAACCCCATCATGATTTATTCGAAGATATATCGCATTAGCCTTGAAACTATGTACAAAATGTACAATATAAATAATAACCAATAACATTAACCACTAACAATCAGGTGCATTTACAGCGGAGTTTATTGTATATAATAACGAGTGGCTTTACGTATACTATTGTCTTATAATTTATTAGACTGTTTTCTTTGCTGCTTCAATAGAATAAACTACTGCAAATTGCTACTGTTTATTTTCAGTTCTTTTTGAATGAACTTCTTCGTTCCTTCATGTGCTGGGATAGGGACAAGTTTCTAACCTCACTTTTGCCCCAACTCCATTTGGAGCATATACGAGTAGCCTACAAAGCATGATAGGCCAAGTTCACTCGCGACGACGAAACCTAATTTCCCCACCTGGCCGTATCAATAACTGCTCAATACTTCGGCACAGTAAAAAAAAAGCCCGTTACCTAACACTAGTCCCAGCTGCCCGTTCTGCCTTGTCAACAGGAAATGATACAAAAATCAAAGAGCACGTCATTAACACGGGTGTTTTGTCAAAAATTCTTCTGCCTGAGAATAGATTTTATGTGGGGTTTTTTTTTGGGGGGGGGCGAAAAGGCAGCTTGGTTTACATGGACGAAATGAAATCTAGAACCAGTGGCGATGTGAACTGTTTACTTGCAGGATCATTAAAGCTAACCTTAAAATACGTAAAAAAAATAAAAATACGGCCAATTAATACACCAGAAAATGTATAAGGCTCAGACACTGAGGGAAAATATTTTGTTTGTGAATTGCGTTTCAGGTCCTATTGTCGTTGGATGCACATTAGAGTGAGAGCTGTCAACTTCCAACTGTCTTCCCAGAACAAGGATTAAACATCGTAAACCACTGAGTCAGTCGGGTAAATCCTGTCAACAAGTTGGCAGTTCAGTCGCTTTTGTCAGTTATCTTTCGGGTACCCGTCAATGTTTTCTGTCGCTGTCCATATACTTCCACAATTAGGTTAGCATACTGCAGCACTTAATGCGAATAACTAGCATTTACTAACAAGCTGAAAATATACATCTCTTGAACTGTTTTTCAAATCGAAAGAGCAAATAATTATGCTGGGCCTCCATACGGGAATATATGTGAGTATATGTCTTAAAATTTACCCTTCAAGTAACACTTCGACTGCGTTTATAAATCCCAGTTTCCTTCTTTAAACCTTTCGAATTCTAAACTACGTTTTCTAAGCCGTTAAGGTGACTTAGCTTTAGAAGTCTGCCTTAGTTAAGTCAGACAGTCAAGGCAAAGTATAAACAAAAGCATTGATGGCTCCTACGCAAACGTCGCGTCGCTCAATAACATAGGCTTATAAACTCCCGTACAAGTGCCAGAATGACGTAAGTTTTAATCACAGACCTGTGAAATTTACAAGATTAATTGAAGCTCATTTAGGGACCAGTATTAACAATAATATGGACACCAGACGACAACACTTAAAAGTAGCTCTTGCAAATTCATATCTTGTATACTTTAATGACAGCTGGGTAGATAGGTCAGTCGCACAGTTTTGTCACCAAGTCACAGACAGTCACTGTCAGATGTTATTTTACTCAGTGATAAGAAAAGAAGTTCAGTAATTTTTCATTCTTTCTACGGGCCAGGGAGAAGCGCTCCATTAGTACAGCGGAATGTTAGAAAAATGAATCATCACTGCGTACCCACTGTGTCCGAAAGACGCGAGGTCAGCCAAGTCGTAAAGTGTCTGCTCGAGCACGTGTCAAATACGAATTACGTTAGTCAGCCTGTCAGTTAAGCATCTCTTTATTAAGTCCGTCGTGTGATGATAAGACCTGTCACTTTCTAACTCTCCTGCGTTGATGCGAACCTGACGTCTCTCTGGATACTGCGATTTCCATGAATGCCATTACCCTGACCCTTGCCTACTGACAGCTTTTGATTGGGGCAAATTTGCTTATTGGAAACGTGACCTGAACCGAGCAGCTTATCAAGTACAAAAAGTAAAATTCCTCACATTTTTCTGTTGTACTGTGTGTATCAATTGGCTGTATTCTGCAGGGTTTTTTTTTATTATTTCTTATAATCTGATAACACTGGTTCCCGGAATAATCCCATATCAATTTACGGAACTGTGCCATTCTGCCAACTCAATCTTGACGACATTTTACTACAACTCATCGATAGCTGCATAAGAAAATACATACGAAATACGGGTTACAAGTGATGTGATAGTGTAAATTAGCCTGGTTGCCAACCATATGATCCTAGAGTGCTTATTCAGACGTATAAATTTTTCACTGAAAGAAATGAAAGAACTGGGCAAACAGAGGCAACGGAAAATTCCTCCCAAGAATTTGTAACGAAAATTAAATTATTCGGGACATTAATAGCTGCGTACAGCAAAACAAAACAAAACAACCCCCCCACAAAAAAAAACTCAAGTGTAAAGGGAACGTCTTTGCCAAAGACATAATTTTACGCTATACAACAAAAATATTACTGTAATGTGGTTGACGTTTGAAGGAAGAGGAAAGTTATCATACTTTCAAGGGGGATCTTTGAAAAGTCATATTTTAGTATGACGAAAGAATACAGAAATATAAAAGAGATAAAAATTCTTCTTGTAACTGAAAAGGGAAGAAACCACATCGAAGATCATTAACAAATGATAGACTGATTTCAGAAAGATTAGATGATCATTATTAATTAGCACCAAGCTAGAGGAGAGAACTGAAATGGTTTATTACAATTTGACATCAGAAAGACTCCAATGAATAAATACTCACGCATATTATTTAAAGGAAGGGGTTTTGATTTCGTTCATCATAGCAGGGAGGTAGCTTCTTTTTGCCGCGCTACCAACTTAATGACCGTAAGGCGTCTGAAAGAAAACTGCGTCATGAAACCTGTACAGCAGAAGGCTGGATGATGGTAATAGATTTCAATCCAATGGAAAATGAGAGAAATCAACACTGAATGACGAAGTGAGGAAAACTTTGTTTTTACAGAGAATTGCGTCAAAACGCAAAGTTCGGGAAGCTAATTATATTTTCACTACTCCAAAGAATGGTGTCTCAGCCAGAGGGTGTGGCATCTTCCCAAAAGAAGATTTTTAAGTTAACACGCAGTTGCTTTCCACTAGAAATCAATGTGGTGAGCTGAAAACTGGCAGTCGAGAGTAAACAGTATTTCAGGTTTCTTTTTAACCACCTGACGAGAGAAGAGGTTTCTTAGGGAGCGCTCTAACATGTTCGCAGGGTTAGCTGCAGCGGAAAAAATGCACAAGTCTATATTCAAACGCTATCTTTTTATAGTCTCTTTGAAGGACCTTTCCTCTTTTTTATGTGTAGAGAGGAGTAAACGAAAATTAAGGTAGGATTCCAAGCCTCCACCTCAGGCTTTAGAAATCCATTTCAGTAATCTGCCCCCCCCGACACACATAAATTTTCATTTCTTGCGTTTTCTGCCAACCAAAAAATCACATTGTCTGAGTTTGTTCCAACATTGCGTCGAAACTGGTGTTTTCATACAGTTGAAATAGCACAAGTTTAAAAGATGATGTCGAAGCCAGAAATTATGAGACCTAGACGGATTGTAACCCTTGTAACTATATGCTATGACATTGCACACTGTAAGATGTGCGAGTGGTAATCGGTGTGAAAATTACACGAGTTGAAGAGCAATTCTTGCGTTCACTTCACTCAAATGCTTGCAAGTATGTGTGATGAAAATACAAATTTAGAGACCGTTTGAACGAAACTTCTAAAATTGAAGTGTCATCATGTCTAAGGACAAATAAGCCTTATACGAGTTAAATTTGAATAAAATCTTATACGCTGAGTTCTTTAAATTCACGTGAACATATCAATTTGAATTCTCGATTCCGAAAATACTGTTGCTATACCTTGTGATTCGGGCAAACTTTTGCTTAGTTATAAAAGAGACGCCTTGCAACAATACACTGTCCTCAATGGATAAGCAAGGTACAAAGAAACCAGTCCATTCCAGAGACAGTGGTCGCCATGCAAAGCTTACTCCGATCACGAGGTATAGCTACAGCGTTTTTAGTCTGGGGGAATTCGAATTGTAACGTTTATGTGCAATTAGATAACTCAGTGTACCAGATTTTACTCAAATTCAACTCGCAAAAGGCTTGTTGAAGCCAGTATTTTCCTAACGGTTTAAGCAGCTGCCATTTACAAACTGGTTCTTGCAAGACTCTTGACTAAACGCAATTATATGGCGATACATCATTTAATTTTAACCTCACTAAATAAAAAATGTTAAAAAAACCGATTTTGTCAAATCATCACGAAGTTTTCCATGCACCTTTAACATAAACAAGGAAAGGTCCGATTATCTCCTCCCGAATGCTTTACAAGTAAGAATCTTGTAGAAGGTTGCACGGAACAGTTCATTGGCAAATGCATAGCATAGGGGGTTCACAGTGCTGTTAATATAGCAAAGGTAGTAGCTGAAATGATACAGTGCGTCGGGTACACAATCAGGACAGTAGCCCTTTATCATTACCACGGTAGAGTACGGGCTCCAGGTGATGAAGAAAGCGCCAAGAATGAAAGTAAGCGTCCGGGTGGCCTTACGTTCGCTTCGGCTTTGCCGCTCTCCCTTGACGGATCGCCGTTTGACCTCGTACTTACGACCACTAGATCGGAAGGTGATGATGCTGGAGCGCTTCTTCCCATTGCTGTTGGGTTGGTATTGGTGCCGTAAAGGCTGCTGCTGCTCGTTGTCTCGCCGTCTTTCGGAAGAGGAGGTCTCATCACTGGGGTCGTCGCGGTCGTAGGATTCCATCTCTCGGCGAGGCGGAGTTTTTCTCTTGACCTCGTTCACGCGGTTTGCCTCTGCCGAAAGGGCCGAGACTGTAGTGGATGTTGTGGTTCCATCCGTGGTAATGCCGACTCCAAGGGCTTCACTCTCCATCATGGTGGGCTCAAGAGTGCGCTCCGGGTAGAGGTGATCATGGGAGACTCGTGAACGCATGGCCCTCCCCCGTATTGACTCATCGGGGGCATTGCGGTGGCCAGATTTGACCTTTTTCCTTGATAGGTTCCGGATGATCCGAAAAATGTACGCATACATGAGGAAAAGGATTGTCAACGGCACCCAGTATACCACGACAGTTGAAAGAGCCATGAAAAGCGGGGAATTCACCAGGAATGGCACGTAACACTCATCGCTTGGTCGCAGCTCCCCAATATGGAAATACGGCCAGCCCAGGACCGATGTGAAGTATAGCAGTATTGGTAATATCCAGGTAGGGATAATCATTATGACAGCCCGACGGAGGTTCATTTTGTTGCGGTACTTGGCAGGCGAGCGGACGGACCAGAGTCTGTCCACACTGATCATGATGAGGTTGAGTACAGACACCTCACTGCACGAATAGTCAATGGAGAGCCAAAGATCGCAGACAAAGGTGCCAAAAGGCCAGGAACCCATGATAAGGTACAACGTATATATGGGCATGGAGAACATCCCGATGATCAGGTCAGCAGCGGCTAGGCTGAGGAGGAAGTAGTTACTAGGCTTCTGCAGACGTCGCTCCACCCTGAAGGACAGCATGACCAAGATGTTCCCCCCAATGGTCAGGATCTGACTGAGCAAGGCGCTGATGCAAATGAAGACCAAGGCCACCGTGCTGTGCGGAGTACCATTGGGCGTCAGGCGATCTGGCGTCGTCGCATGGGTAGTCGACGCAATCGTGGTGATCGCGTCTGAAATGTTGGAGGTATTCATTGCTGGCACCTGCAATGACAATAACAACACAGATTAATAAGATGTTGAAGTATCGTATGAGAATGTTGCCCGTTGACTGGCCTACAACGAATAGAGCAAAAGTTTGTCGTTAAAGGTCCAACGCTTCGAGTCGCTTCTTGGTCATAATTCATCACTTTTAACACACGCAGAAGAGGGATTTCTCTGATTTCTCGCCAAGTTCAAACAGGTATTGAACAAGACTGTCCCTAGCTGCTATATCTGTACCACATCCACGGCAGCGGTTTGATTCCATTTACTCTGCTTGAGCTTCATTGCTTCGAAACTGCTAAATATAGCGTTCCCAGATCTGTATGCGTTCCATTGATTTCGGTCTATTGTGTCACTATCTTATTAAAGGGTGCGATTTGCATCCAACACCCGATGTATCTATTACAAATTATAGTATTTTGTAACACTGGCGCTCTTGCCTCTGATCAATCAACAGAAACAGTGCGATGGATTTTTTGAGGGGTGTGGGCGGTTGTGGAAAGAATATGGTGGATTCGAATCGTCATGAAACATTCTGCGAATTGTCTCTAAAAAAAATCTGGCATTCAGGTTCACACATCGACAGACACTGAATAGTAACAATTTCCTATTTTTCGAAGGCAAGGCACTGCGGTACGTTGCTGGTGTAGTTTATAACCAGAAATGCAGCCTGTAAAATGTTCAATACTGCTGCTGGCTGCATGACCTGGGCTAACACCTCCATGTCCACGATGAGACCATGTCTTTGTACAGCCAAGTGGAAAGTCCAAAGAAATGTTCACCATTATTGCAATGTATTTACTGCTCGGAATGACGATTAGTCGAAGGAAGTCGGATGACTCTAAAAAAGTTCCTGTTTTATCTTCACATAGCCAGAGTTTTATTCCCTTTGGCTTCGACATGCGACAAAACGCACACGTGATTTTGGCGTCGCAGGTCCTTACTGTAGCATGAAAATTTTAACGGACTGATTTAAGCACGGATAAACAAGTACATGTACTGGTTTGTCGTATGTACAATCGTCCATAAATCCTGCAGTTAAAGAATAGCGCAATGAATGTGATCATTCATAACACTGTCCCGACAGTGTTTTCGAAAGGTTCTTCAATTTCAAAGATGTTATCCATTAGCTTCAGTAGCCGTTAGACTGTATAGCAGACATATTTAATTGAAAGTTTTTTATGAAAATTAGAAATAGTGTACATTTTTCTTTAAAGGAAGAGACAGGAACTTTGACACAGCCGAAAACGTTGTGGCAGAGCAGCTGATTTGGAGGGACGTATTTCTAGTTTAATTCACCAGAAACAAACAACATAGATGCCTCAACCTACAAGGTTGAGAAAAGGTTACGCTTTTTATGTAAATGGTAGCTATCATAAAGGTCCGACGTCTTGCCATCTGAAATGTTCCACTTGCAAAAAATGCATGGTAAGTCGCTGCAATCTAGGCACACTAAAAAGAACACTCGTATGCTATGACGTCAATTCACAGTTCATCCTGCTTTGCAATGCCAGGTGGTTATCCAAAATGAGTAGGAGAATTCCAATTAAAAAAAGACTCCTTCCATCCAGGGTGGTTCACCTGGCGATATCATCCGGGCCCCTGATTTTCGATTTCTGCCAGCGACTTACGTTCATTCCGTCAATATTCGGCCCCGTTAAACGCCGCGGCCAGCAGCGTGATTATATTCCCACATCCGAGGATAAAGGGTGGAAAGTCACGCAGACATGCTGAAGTCAGGGCCGGGCGATATTCTTTGGGTGTCGTCTTGCTTCCCCTGAAGATGGCCCAGGCTGGCGAGGCCAGAGGGGGTCAATCAGCAATAAGAGCAAGGCCGAGAAATTAGAAACACGACAGCGTAAAATCGAAGAATACGGGCACGACTCAAGAAATTAGAAACAGGGCGGGCCCGAATCGAAGCAGGAAGCAGCAGGTCTTTAGTCGAGACTGGGGGGCAATCGCAGAGCAGTCTCGCGTAGCTTTGCCGAATAAATACGATTAGCGTTGGGAGTGAGCAAGTGGTTGACACCAAACAGCCCACAGCTATAAGCCAAAGTAGAATACGGTAGTCTTTCTCTGACAGGCGTTATATTGGGTCAGTAGGGGGAAGGTCTGAGTAAATAGCCCAGAGGCCAATCAAATGCAATGCAAATTTCTACCTCCAGATCCTCAGAGCGGACTTGGCTGTCCCCTTCGCCTATAACTCTGCGCATCGAGCTCCTTCGTGTTCAGAGCACGTACACTGCGTCCGTTGAGCAATCCACCGGTGCAGTCCATATACGTTTCAAGACAAGACAGAATTGAGGAGAAAAGGCAAGTGCTGATCCTATAGACGAGGATCAAACCAAGCATCCGGGGTGCACGGGTATCCGTTCACATCCAGCCAGACTTAGTCGGCGACGAAAGTTCGATCATGTTACACTCTAGTGATTTCTTTACCTGCCCTAAAGACGTCCCGTTGCAGGATCTATTTTCTCACCTTTTCCAATAATACAGTCACTGTCATTGAGAGGTCAACCGTAGCCACGGCGTATGCTTCCAAGAAACACAAAAACCCAAATGTAATATTGAAGGGGTTACGCAGAGACCTTAGTCGTAAATTTACTGCACTCCCGAATCAGACTTCTATGGCCACATAAATCACGTATGAAAGAAACCACACAGGCTTGTATATTATGGGGGAAGGAGGGAATCACCATTTTTGTTGTAGAACCATTCACTTCACTTCTCACTCGTACACCAATTACTGTAACAGAATCGAGCCGTGTGGCAGAACACTTCTCAGAGAGCACCTATTTGTCCCCAAAGCCGACAATACACGGATATTGCCGACTGACTTACTGTCTTACAGACGACTGAAAAGGTGACGAGACATCATCTCTCGTCCCTACTGCCATTTACAGTGCCTAGGAATGGGCACAGGTCCTTAGTATGTATGACGTAATTCTTCCACACGTCGTTGGATCAAAAGTACGGCAGTATCCGAATCTGTTGTCTAGAACTATAGGTCTTGGCCCCATTGGAAATACGTTGAGAAACGCAGACAATAGACCTAGCCGCAGGTCTGGAAGGCCGTTTCGGACAAGGCCTACGACTATACATACTGTTTATCATTATGTTGATGTCAGCCGCTTTTCAGTATTCAAAGTAAGTTTCGGTCCATTGTGGGCCCGTTTTCCGCAACTCATACTGCTTCGCGCGTGTGTAGTGGTGACACACTTCCCTTTGGACGATGACTAGTCCACCTCAGCACCCTGTAAGGGCATTGGCGTATAAGCCGATAGGCCTCATGTTACACAACAGTATTATTTTGAAATGCCCTCTGCTGATTCGAATGGGTTTGTCAGTAGCTATTTCTTTCAATAAGCTAATCTGGTCATGAAATGTCTCATCATGTCATCTATTGATCTGAAATGGCTGCTTGTCAGTACATTTCAAATGTTTCTCTCAAACCATTCATCATCGGTAAAATTGACTTATTATTATTATTTCTGCCACGGGAGGAATGTGTGTGTGAAGACTTCTCATAACTTTGATTTTTATGTCACAACCAACCTGACATGCGAAACAGAGTCACATGCATATTCAAAGTGACAAGATTTAGTTCAGACACGCATGAATTTACACACCAACACAATCAGGCAGCAGGAACAAATAAATCGAACTTTTGCAAACGAAATTTACCCAAAGCCAAGTGAACTTGGATGTGTTAGCCAGTCAGCCCATGGCGCAGCGCGCTTTGCACATGTATATGTATTAGCAGAGCACATTACTTATAGACACTGTCCGCTTCTCAACTGCCTGCAGTCATGTCTGGACGGCCGCGCAGGAGATGCACCGACACGTTCAGGTTCGGCCTAGCGATGCCTGTGGCTCAATGGCACAGTAATTGGTACAGTCGAAGACATCCCCCCTCGAGCCTCGAAGGAATATCTGATTAAGGATAAAAATTGAATCATTTCTGCTTAGAAAAACAGTGCCTCCGCGTTAAATGCCAACTTCTATATCGACTGTGGCTGCGCTGTTTTCTAAATGGCTTTTACAACAATAGCATTTTTAACCGCTTGTGTACCATTCAAAAATTATTATTTCAATACAGTGCTAGTACTTTATTTAAATAGCAATAAGACTAACAGGTTCATATACAAATCGTTCCAAATAAACGGTGTCTGGGAAAATTGGAAAAAAGCTTTCATACATCACAGACATCAATCTATGGGTCACACTTCGACAGGTAAAGCCAAAAAAATCTATAAAGCCTAAATCTGCTCAGGATAAAATCTCCCAGAAAAAACCTATGGCCTCTATAACGGCTTTGTGAGCAGCGGCGTAGGGTAGCCATGTTGGGGGCCGAGGCGCGGATGCTGCATTGCTACATGCAATTCTGACTGGGACACGTTTTATGAGGAAATTGGTGCTTGTGACATGTGAATATTCATTTTGAGCTACACATCAATAGAATACTCCTGATGCACCTTCAGACCAGTTCCATTCATTTACCTGAAATACTCACAGCACAACAGAAACATTTTCTCTTTAACCAACATCCATGGGCGTAAATCCCAGGTTGGACGGGGGTACATATCCCCCCACTTTTCTGAGGTGGGGGTTGGGCTATTGAATCATCCCTCTACACACTTCTTTGTGACGAGAAAAGAAACTAAAGCGGATTGTGGAGAATTTTAAAGATTTCCATATGCCATTTGGATGTAATATTCTGTATGAACTCGATACGCATTAGGGCCTACAGATGTACATCTTTATCATGAACAATGTCCCATGTATACAGCATATATGGTGTTATCCCCTCCGCTTTTCGAATTTCCATGGCCAGGAAAGTCATCCCCCGCCTTTCCGTACCCATTTCTAGCAACGATTTATGCCACTAAGTTTCTTGCAATCAGTGATATTTGCTGAGTATTTTACCTTGGTGTAGATCAGTTCGGTTAGACTGCCGAGTCCTCCACTGTAATTGGCGCAAGCTGCCAGGGCAGAATCAATGATAGAACGCTTTTTCCTACACGTTCACCAGAGTGAGTGCAGAACGTTTCCTTGTTCAATTGGGGTTGGACATAAACAGTATCGATCCGTCCAAAAGTACACACGAGTTCAGTAACTAATTGGTAAGGCAGATGGCTTCGGAAAGGTTAAGTACAGTATTCATTCCAGTAAAGATGGTATATTTCCGCATGACTTGTTGACACGAGCCTTGCCAAGACGAATATAGATGACATGGGCGTAGCAGGACACGCTGCTTTATACGTGCACCTGGATGGGAACGGAACTTCGATCATCAAGGGCCATGTGAACACAGAGTTACAGAAACACAAGCGGCATTTTCGTTTCCGTCAGGCTGAGTTGGTTTGTTTTCACAACCGTAACAACCAGGTTTATATACAATACGCTGATTCTTGCACGAGAACTACGGGTAGTCTATCAAAACTGTTCTAACCTTGCCCAACGTGAACTTGGACACCGATTTCAATATCATAGACCGAAAGGGCTACATTGCTTTGTTCGCCACAAAAGCTTTTACGCATTGTTCTTCGTACTCTGTGCTGCGGCGGCACTAATGTGGAATGCGGAAATCGATCTTACAAAACTCGATGGGAATTTGAGTGCGTCGTAAGGATTTGAATTCGAATGCCAGGTTGGACTCTTTGTGTGCTTCATGAAACACTCATCCCCAATGTTAGGTTGCGACCAAAATCCGAGTCTCCCTCCCCACTTTTTCAAGTAAACTCCGTTCTTTCGTTCAATCTATGACGGATAATATGAACATATAAAAAACAGAAATTTTAATCTGCCATTTTGATCTACCGCTGACATGAAGAGCACGTTTATCTCTTTTTGCGTTTCTTTGTATTAGGTCATCATACCGATGGACTTGCTTAGTGGGCGACAAATAAAATGATTTTTATTAACTCCAACTGACTGAGAAGCGAAAATGGTTTCCATCTTGACGTTCAAGAAAAATCCACAAAATGAACAGATGTACATGCAGTTTCAATTTCTTCGATTGGACCAAAGTAAACGAAATTTTTCACTCAATGTAATTCAGCACCGCGCAAAATGTGTAATACAATTTAGTTATTACAACGTGAAGTCACTGAGCCGCGGAGCCTGATCTGACTTGGTTGATCAGGTCACGGAGTTAGAAAACCGTTTTGTAATTCCATCATTATTTAGTCAGGTCCCCAACGTCACCACTGTAACCCCTGGGTGGGATGTGATTTTATCGACACAAGTTTGAAACCACACCTCATGTATGGAAAGAGATTATTTACGATGCAGTCGTGGGCATCAGAACTAGATATGAAGCGCAGACGACAGTTCAGACATGAAATCACAGTCATGCTCACTTCAATGAGTTTATCCCATTTTCTCTCGAAAAAGCTTTGCTCAGTGCTTTCATCGTCATTCAGAGAATTTAATGGGCTCGGTGCAGAGTGTAAACAAAAGACGGCGTAATGTTTCCTAGCAACGACTTTCCTTTGAGGCGAGGCCGACAACACCGGACAATATAAGTATACACTGGCTTTGCCAACCTTTTCTCGTTTTTACAAAGTGACGTTTGCCAAGGGTGGCGGACACATTGCTCACGGTGCTGTTGTCGTTGAGGGAAAACCGCAATATACAGTATACACATCCAGGCAATGCGAGTATTTCTTTCACGGTAGAACGCTCCTTCTTGGTTGTGCTCTGAGAAGGTGCCAATGACGTAACTCTGCGACACCGTCAAATTCATTTCTGGAGTGCATGCTATGATCGAAAGTGACCGCTCCACTTCATGCCAAAATCACTTGACCTGACACGGTCATGGGCTAATCAGTTGTTAGAATCTTTGAATTAAAACCTTAAGTAAAAGAGCCGCATACTTAAAAAGCCTGACTCTTACGGCGCAAATTGAATCAAAGGCGCTTCAGCGGCGCATCCAGGAATTTTCCCGGGGGGGGTCACGCTCGTCAGATTTTTTCTTTTTTTTATAATGTCCGATTGTCGCAGTTGCGGGCAGGCAGGCACACATAGGTAAATCATTACAATGTTACTGATGCATTTTCCTTGGACGTCATCCTTTTTATTACCATATTTTTTCTTTATATTTTTATTCATTTTTAACGATTTTGGGTATGAGATCATGGGGGTTGGCCCTGGATCCAAGTCTGCATTTATATTTGAATTGCGATATGGTCAGCATGGCGAAGCGAGATCTCGGGTTCTGTGACCCTGTTCACAGCGGACTCACCTTTGACGGGTTAGGCGTTCCTGAAGCAATTAAACTGAATAAAAAAACAGGCTAGAGTCGGATTCATTCTACTCATTTCATGCGCCACCAACCGTCTTTAAACACTTCTCCTTATAAGCCATAGGCAACCCGGAATTGGAGGGCAAACCTGGATATAGCTGCTCCTGCTAAGTGCATTACGCCCCACTTTAAAGTTGATCACAGTAGGTATGCTCCCATTGGCAATAAAACCTCATTTATGCAGTCATGTTTAATTAGTGTTTTTGTTGGCACAGGGTCACTGATGAATTTAATTCATTAATAATCAGTTGTTAAGACTTCAACCACCACCCCTGCTACTTCATTAAATCATCTTGTCATCGTGAAACGTGGATACTAAATCATTCATGCTACAGAGAGAGGCACAATGCCACTTTAAATTTCTGTCGGGGATAGTTTTTCAATATCTGGATATCCGACTTAAGATCTTATCAGCTAGGTCTACGTTATGAGACTGACAGCCTCGAAATAAAAAAAGTCAGTACTATTGACAGCAGCACTGATGTTTCTTCAGGTAACTAACGTCCTATTTTTACAGATATAACCGTCATTGGATATTACTGTTCTTTCATTAAAGAAATCTTAAAAGGCAGAAAAGGGACAACAGCCGTTAGGAATAAAATCTGATTTGTTACATGTGATCACACAAACACGGGAAAATGAAACTAATTCGAAAAAGGTTCTTCTTAAGGGGTGGACCACCACAGGCAAAGTCCGTTAACAATCATGATCTTGTTTACATTTTCTTTATCGGGGACAATTTCCAACGTGTGCTAAACCCAGAATTTGCAAAGCACTGAAATTATTAGCTTAGTAAAACAGGTTTATCAGCTGAAACGACAAGCAGTTTCTATCCCTGTGACTCGTTCTCTGCTTTTGCATGTATTTGTTACAACACAACTCACTAGGGCATATTTTCTGCTCTATGGCATTGGGCCAACGCGAGAACCCTGGCTGAGTATCTGGACAAGCAAGGATGTTAGTTCATAAAACATTCAGTGTTTCCTCAGATAGAGGGCACTTCTTACCTCAAATATTGACGATCATGTCTCCTTGTGGCTAATAATTTACTCACCCAGCAATATTGAGCTAGCCTTTATTGCGGAATCATTAACGCGTACTTTCGTGCGAAGCATACACCGTATCATGTATGACGCTGATGAGGGATTCGCTTGATGCCTAGGGTTAATTAATTTTCCATAAATTGTGGAGACAGGTGACAACGCGTCGCCAGGTTGGCTTAATTATATCTTGTCCTTGGAAGAGTAAACTCCCAGGTTTGCCCACTCGCGCCGGTAAAATATTTGCCAAGAATGCATGTATCAACATAGCCAAAATGACCGGGTCGTGGTACCGAAATGCCTCGACCGCCTTGAGACGATCCAGGGTTTTACCAGCCGTGATCTTAGGTCAACTTGGCACCACAGCGGCACCTCTGCCAGGAAGACTTTTCACACTTCAACCTCAACCAGGCAATCTCGGCTCGAAGCAGAGTTTCGGTCTCCACGTGCCCACTGCCTCCAAGATTGCGTTTATACAAGTGACACTTCTTGTTGACTCGAGTTGAGTGGCTCTCATGTATATAGTCTCATAAAGAACAGGATACAAACGTGGAAATTCTTCTGGTGGTGCATTCGGAGTCTGCCAGGGGTTTTAGAGTTTGCAGGTTGAAATTCTTGCAATTCAATAGCCGTTAGGATAGGTTTCGTCGGTGAATGGACACGGCGCGTTGGGGTATGTCAGTGGTTTAATAGTGTTACTTTGTCATACAATGACGCTTGCACTCGTTATCGCGTCTAAGTCGGTTACTTGGTGGCTACTACTTTGGTTTTGCCTTTAGTGTGTCACAGTACTTGGGCAGTAGTAACTACATAGACGATTTGGATAGGCTCCTGTTACATTCTTGTAACAAGCATGTATATTTGGATCAGCTCTTCCCTCGATGTGACGCTATGCCTTCATGGTGTTTTGCTCATGTGCTATCAGAATTCGTTTTCGTGTCAGGCTCGTTCTCTGTATTTTGGGTACAATCCGTGTTTCAGTGGGACTCTCCGTGACTACGTAAAGGCGTCTTGGATATACGGGAGCGTGCAATAGTGTTGTCATACTTCGTGGAAATCTGCCAAAGATTTGCTCTGCTGTGCTAGAGGCTTTTGATTTTCAGCTGACCATATCCAATGACCACGTTTAAAGAATCAAAGCCGCGACCTACACAGTGGGTGATTCAGACTGGAACTGTGCTTTTCTTTGGTTTAGAGAGACCCCAGATTAACCACTGTATGGTAAATGCACATGCACACAGGAATACGAACTGACTGCAGTCCAACATACGTACATTGGTGCTACTAGTCGACGTCATGAACACAACGACGGCGTGGACCTTACGTCACCGTACGATGCCATGTTTTCCTTCTATAATTATATACGTCATCGGGTTTGCCAATGAAGGCTCATGCACCGCTGTAAGAGGTAGTTCTCTTGCCCTGTTAATCACCCGAAGCGCTTAGTTATCTGAGACGCTTGTGGCGTACCTTCACCGAGTAAATGACCTAAAATTAAAAGTCAAATTTCACGACTCTCCGAGCTCCAAGTAGGATGTCACTTGTAGATTTCCAAATAAACACTAACATTATATTCTGTCATGCGAAATTGCATTGTCCTACATGTCAGCTGCATTGGTAATTGACTCTAACTCCACGGCCATTAAAACAAGATTCATTCCTTGTAAAATAGTTTATATGATTATATAAAGCAATCTTACAATAATTCTGAGCAACGAGACCCAGGAAACCTACGATGGGCCAATTTGCCTGCTTTCATTAAATTTTGGTCAAGGTGATGGTATCTGAACACGCGTTGGCAAAATCCAGATTTAATGCTGGTTGTCCTTTGACTGTTTAGGCATGGATCGCAGACTAGTTTAGGTCTGTATTGGTTGCTAAACCGGAGGTGCTAGGGTAGGGATTTCCCCTGCTACCAAAGGTATATGTGTACCGGGGTAACAATATGGTCCTATCAGGCGTCAAAAACTGAATTTCATGAAGCCTGGAGTTTCGGCCCCAACTGACTTCCAACATTATCAAGTCGCAGGTAACTATTCCATAGAAAAGATCATTTT